TTTAAAAGAGCTAAAAGGATGGGGCAGATATCAGTGATCAAATGTTCAGAGAACAAGTGCGATTTTTCTGGTAGCCAGAAGCATTAAGGACAATTGCCCTTCAATACTATTTACAACTTCACAGGAGTAAATTATGCTTAAATTTATAGACTTTTAGAGTTACAGAAATCCTTATTCCTTAGACATCATCTGGTGCAACCCTCTCATTTCATAAATATTGTTTGGATGAAGAAGCCAATTCCCCAAAAAACACTCAAATTAGTTCTCTTTCGAGGGAAAGAAGTCAGTCTTCCAACTCTGAAGGACTTATGATGAAAAATGCTCTCTGTCCCCAGAGAAAGAATTGATGGTGTCTGAATACTGATTGAAGCATACCTTTTCTTTAACTTGCTTTATTTTCCTTGAGTTTTTTTCTCATCTATGTTTTCTTTCACAACATGACTATTATGGATATGTTTTGCATAACTACACATGTATAACCTATATTGAATTGCTTGTCTTCTCAACAGGGGTGGAATACGGAGGGAGCAGGGGAGAAAATTTGGAACTCAAATTTTTGTAAAAGGATTTCTGTAACTCTAAAAGTCTATAAATTTAAGCATAATTTACTCCTGTGAAGTTGTAAATAGTATTGAAGGGCAATTGTCCTTAATGCTTCTGGCTACCAGAAAAATTGTACTTGTTCTCTGAACATTTGATCACTGATATCTGCCCCATCCTTTTAGCTCTTTTGTAAGTTTTGTAAACAAATGTTAAAAATTGTTTTTACATGTAACTGGGGGAGAATACATTAATTTAAAAAACTAAAAAAACTAAAAGAAGTCAGTCCTCAGAAGATGCAGTCCCTGAAAGAGTTAAGTTTATCAACTGTTAACAGAAAGTAAGGATGTATCCTTTGACAGTATGATACTACCAATGACTGTTGTATTCGACTAGTGTTGTTGCCTGTCCATGATGACTGTATGTATTTGTGTATATTGCTCTCTTAGTTATTTCATATATTACTTTCTTTGGTTTTTTTCACTGCTTCATTTCATTAAGGTTCCCATACTTCATATTTGTCATTGCTCAATACTGCAGTGATATTCCATCACACTCACACACAATCATGTGTTCAGTCATTCCTCAATCACTGGGCACATGCTTTGAGGTTTTTTTAATCACAAATGATGCTATGAGTATTTTTGCAATTATGAGTCTTGAGACTGATAAGCTTATAAACAAACAGAATCTAACACAGGTCACTAGGTGGCGCAGTGAATAGTCAGGAAGACCTGAGTTTGAATTCTACCTCAGATACTTATTAGTTTTGTGACCCTGGGCTAATTTCCCTGTCTCTAAAATAAGGATAATAATAGCATCTACCTCACAAAATTGTTTTAAGTTTCAAATAAGATAACATATGTAATGCACTTTAAAAGCCTTAGTTTATATGCTAGCTATTATTATAATCTCTGGGTCAAGGGGTCTGAACAATTTAGCCACACTTACATCATTCCAATTTGCTCTCCCAAAAGCCAATTCCATAACATTGGATGTGAGGAAACTGAAGCTGAGTGATTTGCCTAAGCCTACACAGCCATTCGAAGTAAATCTGACTCAAACCCAACTCTTGATTTCAACCCAGCCCACTGGTCCAAATATCACTGTATCCCTTTTCCATTAATTAGGGCCCTCAGATTCAAATTAGGCCTCTGGGTTATCAAATGTTATTACAAGTGGACACTGCAACCTTGCCCAGTTCAGTCTTACTCTATTCCTAACACCCACATTTCACTTTCAGCTCCCTTTATGCAGAACGGCTATCAGAACAACAACTTTGATCTCAATTTAATTCAATTCAACTCAACAAGCAGTCTCACATGAGACTAAACTAAAGGCAGGCAGGCCGGAACAGAACTATTGAAAGACTGTGAGAAGGGGTGACTCTAATTTCAAAGAACTGAGGAGGCAGTGGTTTCAATTATTCTGCATCTCTTCTGAGGGAATAAATATGCTGTATCTCTCCATGTTCCACATATCCTCTCAGCAGCTCTCATCTGTCTTCTCTCCACTCTCAGAAAAAGCTGGAAAGGACTTATAAGCAGTTGAGAGGTAATAACATTACTCAATACGTTATCATATTCTAAATATGTCTCTAGGTCCCAAGGTAAAGAGATGATGTGATCACTGGAGGAGAGAAGATTTAAAAAGATCTGCTAATAGAGGGAGGTACAGATAAGGGATCCAGGTTTTTTAAAAAGTAATGGTGATGAGGGGAAAAGTGCCATTTAGTACAAGAGGTAGAAAGACAATTCTAATGGTGCTGAGGAAAAGTTTTGCTAAGTAAATTCATCTCCATTCTCTTTTACCCACCCCGTGCCTCCTGGTCCTCACCATCCTAAACAGCCCTAACAATGTATGGATTTCCTAGAGTGCTTTTGATCCACTCCCCTCAGAGAGATTTTGTAGGAATTTCCTTGGATGCTGGGCTTCATTCCAGGTCACAGAATCACAGAAGGGGACTTGCAATTCCAAAAAAGAAAACTATTTTAATAATGTATCAGTAAGTGTTTTTCTAGGTCTTTCACCCTCTTACACAGAAACTCCCATAGTGGCCTATCTATACCTATTTCTACTTATCTGCCTTTACAAATTTACCTCTGTGAGTTTTCAGTTATTAAAGACTGCACAGAAAGCACTGCAGTAACTCAGCTTTAAACAACTGTTTCTTTTCTTGGCCTTCAGGCAGCATCAGTAGATAAGTAGAAATATATGTGCCTGGGGGAAAAGAAATAATGCTAAGAAAACAGAATTAAGCATTTATCAACCACTTCCTCCAACACTCTACATCAGTCTTAATTTTTAAATAACATCTCTAAAACTACTTACTAGGAAAAGTGGAATTGTTTGGTGGTCATTAAGAAGCCAGACGATATTCAGAAGTAACCTCCCATGAGGTAAATTACTAGGCGTTTCTACACATTTACTCGTTCCTCCCCCAGCATCCCTCAAAGTTACCCAATAAATTTTTAAATTCCAGCTATTAGGTGCCTCCCCTGACTGGGCTTTAAGTTTTCTTTCCCAAGGGTCTAGTTTCATTTGCCCTAGGCAGCTCCTAAAAGTGCACTAACAAATCATTTCTGTCCCAGGGCTAGGCTCCCATATTTTGGGCACAAACCTTTTTAGGCTGTAGGATTTGGAGCAGGGGACAGACATAGATTGGCTTGGCAAGGGCAGCAAGGCCTACCAGATTTATAAGCTTTTCTCCTCCCCAGCATTTCGCCTGATCTAATTATCAACTAGACTTGATTACCTAGAGAAAAGGTGTGTGTGTTAGCAGGCTCACCGCAGTACAATGGTTAAGAGTGGGTTGAAAACCGCCCCCCTCCCCCAGCAAAGGTTAAGTACTAAAGCCTGACTTTTTTTTTTCCATCTTAGTTTGGTGGAGTTTCTGTGCCCCCTCCCTCTGCACGCCCTGTGTATGTATGGCCTTTCAGTTTTTGTCTGCTTTCAAGCTTGGGCAGATCTAGAAACTCAGTTCTACTTTCCCAGCAGCTACTGGAGAACCAGAGATTAAAAAATCTGAAAGAATATGAAAAAAGATAGTTGGGTGAAAATAATGAGAACCACCCCGTGGCTAGGCACTAAAGCAATGTTTGTTGGGTTCTTTTTTGTCGCAGGCAAGGAGGGTCTGGAGAGGGTTAAAGCAGCCCGAAGTGCTATTTTGTCTGGTAACTTCGAAAGCTGCCCAGGGCAGCCGAAGCAGCTTTCGAAGTTACAAAACAAAACATCTCCTCAGTAACAACTGTACAAGCCAAGGCCTCCCTGCCATTCAGACTGTTGAGTCAGTATGTCTGGCTGGGCCGGGCCTCACGTCACTGCTCACTGCCTGCCTCCTCCTCCTTTCTCTTTCTTTCCTCCACCCCTCCTCCTCAACCCTTCCCCATGCGCTTAGCACTCCTAGCCGGATATGAGCCACCAATCCCAGCAACAAACAACCCTTTAAATTAAATAAAAAAGAAAACCACTAACTGAGGAAAGCAGAATGCGCCAACGACTGGTTAACTTGCATTATTCTACAGTCTTCCCCCACCCCCACCTTCCCGTCTCACATCTGTCCCTCATTCAAGATACAACAGCTGTTTTATCTCTAGCCAGGGCAATGGAAGGAACTCTACTACATAAAGAGTTACAATGTAGTTTCCACCTTGTGTGTTGGGTTTTTTTTTTGAAGACCATGTTGTTTTTCCCTTGTGCTGCTTTGGTTGTGAGTGTTCCCTTATGTGCTCAGCAGCCTGGAGCCCACAGGAAAGAGGAGGGGAAAAAGGTTCCTGACTTCTTAAGAGTGAAGCTTTGCTTGTTCATTTAAAGTCCTGTAATTGAAAAGCCGCCCTTGATTTTTAAACTCTGTCCTTAACGCATCCTCGTGGTCTTTCCCTTTGCCCAAGGGTGGGTACTGTCTTTAATTTATACACCAAATCTAAAACAGAGGTCTTAAGTCTTTTTTTTTTTGCTTGCATGAGACCTCCACGGACTTAACCTTATTTCCACGGAGCGTGTGCAGCCAGCATCCTAGCGGGCCTAACCCCAAACAAAAACACCCCAGTGCTTTTAAACCGGAGGCGGATCTGGACAGCTTACGTCTCTACTGGGCGATTTATTTGCGTGTTTGTTTAAGCAATGGGGAAAGCATTACTATGACATGTGACAGGTTTGCTTCAGAAAAAAAAGCGGAACATATGCATATAATATATTAGGGAAAACCAAATCCCGAGGAAGTGGGGGAGGGGAGAATAGAGTGGGTGGGCATGCATTTCTTGAAATCAGCAAAAACAGCATCTGGTATTTAAAAGGGTAATCTCATCAAGGACCTCCTGTTGGAGTCCTCATAACTCTCAACCAAAATAAACTCGCAGGAACATGTGTTTACTTAATGGCTAGTTTCTGTTTGAAATACCGGGAGAGAAGGAGGGGGTACCCAAGCAGGGTTGTAAGTCCTAAAAGTAGGAACTGTTTACCGAACCAGATGAGCAGCCACGATGTTTTCGCCCGTTTCCCATAAAGGCAGCAGCTGCCTCAAGGGGGGGGGCCGCTGGCGAAGGTTGGTGGGGGAGAGGAAGAGTCAGCGCCTCTGCTGCTGCGGCAGCTACTGCGGCCGAGTTGAATCAGGACATGCAAAGCGCGCGCGCGCACAAACATACACACGCAGAGACGTTTAAAGAGCATGTGGGCATGACAGAGTGTCTGTCTCCAGCGTGCTCGGGATTTCGAAACTGCCTTGCAATCCTTGTCCAGGGCTAGCAACCGCGGAGGACGGACGGGAGGCGATCGCCGTTTGGTGTGTGGGTCTCCTCTTATCTACTTCCCCAAAGTAGTGTAGTTTTGTTGGAAGAACACTGATGGAGAAAAAAAGGAGAAGCGGCGAGAGCCCAAGACGGGGGTAAAGGGTAGAAGCTGATTCAGTAAGCAAGCAGTGCGTCCTCACCCTGCAGCATACTTTCCCTTCTCTCCTCCCACCCCCACCCCATTCAGTCAGCCTCGCGTAGAACTCAGTCCGCTGCCACTGGGAGAGCTAAGTTAAAGGTAGCTGTCAAAAAAAAAGTATTTTCCTTCTAGGGGAGGGAAGAGGAAAGAGGAGGGGGCACCCTTAAAAAAAAACACCCTCTTCCAGTTTAATGATCAAACGGGAGTCTGGCAAAGGAAGAAAGGCCAAAAAAAAGTGGGGGAGGGCTTCTCTCCTGACTGGCTGCTTGGTCACCATCGCCACGCTGCCAGTGATGCGGGTCCCTGGGACTGAACAAGCGGGGAAGGGTTTGGTTTCTTTTCTTTCCTCCCCTCCCCTTTTACTCCTTTGCCCTCCCCCCTTCCCCTCCTCCTCTTTTCTCTTGTATCTATCTGTCAGAGTGACAGCAGCTAGGGAGGAGGGAAGAGGCAGCGGAGTGCTGGGGCGGTCGGGGCTGCTGCTCTCTCTTACTCTCACTCATTGCTGGAAGGTGCGGGTGGGGGGGTGGAGAATAAAGGGGGGGTGTGAGCTATTGAGGGGGAGAAGTTGTGGGTGGAGGAAGGACCTCCTGTACCTTCTCCCCTTTCCTTTCTCATTCTGACAGGCTGGGGCTTAAGGCGCTGTGGAGCACCGAAGCAGGAGGGAAAGAACAAAGGACGAAAGTGGGGAGGGGAGGCCGGATTGGGAAGGGGACGAGCCCCCGACCCCGACTTCCAGGGAGCAGGGAAGCTCAAAGTGTCAGTTGAATCCCCTCCAACTCTGAGGCGCCTGGGATTGTAGCGCCTTGTGTAGTCCTAACGGCCGGAGCAATTCCCCCCCCCCACCGTCTGCAAGTTACGGGGGAGACAGTTCTGAAGGAGGCAGGAGGAAAAAAAGGAAAAAAGAAAGAAAGAAATCCCCACCCCTGGCTCTCCTCCCCGGGCATTCAGAAAGAGAATTATTTCCGCCTGGTGGAAGTAGAAATCAAGAATGAAAACTAAGAAAGGTAAGTGTAGCGTGCTTTCGTCTCCCCGTGTGCTTGTGTATGTGTGATTGTGTGGATGTTTGTCCGTATCCCCATCCAACTGTGTGTGGCTCACTTTTTTTGGGGGGGTGGGGGGGAAGTGCTTGGGCAGTTAGGGCTGTGTGGACTAGTAATAAGCTGCCTGATTTTGGGTTACTTTATTTTTCCCCCCCAAAAGTGTCCCCACCACCACCACCACTCCTACCCCATCCCAGGAGTCCTGGGTTCTTTTTCTTCTTCTTTGTTGAGGTCCGGTCTACAATGGCAGTTGGTTGATGTTTCACTTCTAGACACAACATGAGGGGCTGTTGTTTAGAGACTCGTTTCTCCATGCTGCTGGCACGTTGTCAAGAAGCACGCTCAACTGCCTTGTTTGTGCTCCTCAAAGTTTCATTGTCTGCCCCGCCACCCCCATGCTTTTTCGAAAACGCGAGCCCGAGCTTTCCTTCCCCCCTCCACTCGCGACCCCTTCCCTCTGCCTTTCCGGGGCAAACTTCACCCCGTTTCTTAACCCCTGATGAGACTTTTATTTCCTAACTTTCAAAACGAGAGGCTCCAGCCAAACAAAGTCGTCTCTGTTTGGAGTGGGAGCACCCTGGATGGCAAGATCCACTGAGTCTTTGTTTGAAACTTAGGCTTGAAGGGCTCTCACTCAGAGCTTGGGTTGGGACTATTCTGCCCCCACCCCCCTCTCTGAAATGTGATATTTCTTTTTTGTAATTATACTAACTTATGTATACCATGCACTATATACTGTATACTAACTCCCCCCATTGAAATGTAATATTTCTTTTTGTCATTAAACTAACTTCGGTATATTATATACTTCCTCCCCTCATTGAAATGTGATATTTCTTCTTTGTAATTATACTTTGTATACTATGTATGTAACTTCCCCCCCCAAAAAAGAAAAAAAAACCTATTCTTGGCATGAAAGGTTGGATTTTTAAAAAGCTTCCCAATTTGGGGAAGGGCGAATTTTTAAAAGGGTTAAATTGGAGAAAGGAAGAATTTAAAATGTCAAGAAAACTGCTCCCCTCCCCCTTTTTTAAGAATGTTTTAGACTGCTCTTTCATTTTGACAGGCAGGTCTACTTGTAAGTGCCCCAGTTAGGGTCTCTGATTGTTTCTATAAAAGCGCCCTGGAAGTTTTTAAAAACTGAAACTTGGCATCAACCTGTCTTTAGAAAACACCCAACTTTAAAATTCGTGGGGGGGGTAGTTAGTGGTTCCCCCTTAAGTCCTGGAGGAACGCAAAAAAGCTTGGCTCTCGGCTTGCTGAAGCTGGAGTTGAATTTTCCGTTGTGATTTATGTGAGGGGTTCAAAACATAAGTTAATCGGGTCCTGAAGCAAATGTTCCAAAGCGAGGTGGGAAGCCTCCTACTGCGCATGCTCACCAACTTCCTCGAGGGATGGCTTTTTTTTTTTTTGAACTCCACATTCTTTCAGACTGGTAATGCCCGGAGAGGGTTTGGGGCAGCCTCCCCCCCGGGGGAGGGGGGTGCGCGTAGTGTACGTTATGAGATAGAATGTTGTTGGAATGGAACGCCACGAGGCGTTGGGTTCTTCCTCCCGAACCCCATGCCCGAGGGTTCTGTTAGTGTGATTCAGAGACTTTGAAACCTTTGATGAAGGTCGCCCCTACTCCCCCCGCTCCCCCCCAACTTTATCCTGGAAGCCTGGAGGGCGTGTAAAGTCCACGAGCAGGTTAAAAGCGGCTTGGGTCTCCTCACCCCTCTCCCCGCCCCAGGTTACAGCATTCATAAGGTGGTTCATTGAATTCATTGATTGGTGATAACGCGGCAGTTTCGCGACGCGCGCTCTGGGAATGGCGTCCGAGACGCCCCTGAAGTGAAAGGAGGTCTTCCCCTCGGTTGAGCTCGTCGGTGCTGGGCAGTTAGTGCATTTCGGCGGAACTGACTACAGTTAGGCGTTGTTGCCCCCCCCCCTTTTTTTGTATGTTCCTTTAAAAGACCCATTCGTGTTCCCTTCCTCTCAATGAGTAGATTTCCGCCTTCTGCCCGTCCCATTGTTCGGGCTGTGCCTCGGGGTAGGGACTGTCGAAATACCCAACTTCGTTGGAAACTTCTAACTCCCTCCCAGCGTCTTCCCCTTGCCCCCGCATTCTTCCCCCCGGTTCCCGCATTCTTCCTGGTCCCTCCCCCTTCCCCCTCTCCACTTATAATAAAGAATCGAGTGTGTGAAAATGCTGATATGATTAGTGTGAGTGTTTGGTAATCAGTCTTGTGAGCTGAAGTTCTGGTTATTCAGCACTGAAATAATGCAAACAATGAAAGGTGACATGTTGGAGGGGGAAACTTTGAGATTATAGGAAGAAGGTCACTGGTTTAGAGTTTGTGTGGGGCAGATGAGACTATTGATGGTTGATGTTAGGACAAAGGTTTTTTTCTTTTTCCTTTTTTTTTTTTGGTTAAGGTTTGGTTGGCAGATTGCGTTTGAGGGACACTTCACCGTTTCAGTTCTACATATCTTTTCTGGTTTCTTGTAATCTGAAATTCTTTTGAATTCTCTTTGAGTTGTGGTAAATTTTACTGCTTTGGGGGATGATTAAAGTTCAGGCTGTGGAACCCAGGAACAAAAGCTAGATTGCTTGCTTCCCTCCTTCTCTCCTGCCCCTCCCTTCTCTTCCTCCTCTTCTCTCCTCCCTCCTGCCTCTTTCCCTTTGTAAAAACTACCTTTGAGGGATGAAACGGTTTTCATTTTGTGTGTTACAGGAAGATTTAAGGATCTCTCGGCCAACTGTTGCCCATGACATGGTCTGTGGGATGGGTTTGTGGTCGTTTTAATATAAAAGTTATCTGTCAAATATTTTTAAAGCTCACTTTAATAAAAGTAACTTGGATGAAATCACAGAGAAGTGGAGTATTATACATTGATTTGCAAATTAGGGGATTGTACTTCTGAAAAATTGCACACTGTTACAAAAGAATCCTTTTTAAAATGATTAAAGCAAACAGGTAGATGGTCGGATCAGAAAAATTCCAGTAGTTCTTTTAATCCTTACCTTTTGACAGTGTTACGTTCTTGCTTGAGAAATTATGTTGCTTGGGCCAGCCAAGCCCAGTTCAGTTTGGATGACTCAAGTGTTAAGATTCCCATTGTAGCTCCAGGGAGACCATCTTAACAGGAAACTTTTCCTATCCAAACTTTTGCTTAATTAAATTAATGGTTAACCTTTTTTCCATTTGGGTTTATCACTATCGTATCTAGATCCTTTGCCTTCGACTCCTTTAGTTTTGGTTCAACTGACAAATCTCTTTTTCTTTTTCTTTTTTTTTTTTCATTCGTTGTCATCCTGCTGATCTTGAGAGTCTAAGTATTCTAAGAGCTAATCTTGCCTCTTGTCAAATACTAAGTAACAAGTCCTTCTGACCCTTTGAGAATAAGGAAGTAGATAGAGTAAAAGCAATCTGTTCCTTTGTACTAAGTATCATGACCTATGAATTCATATTTGGGAAACAAGTCTTCTCTGGGAAACTTTTCCAAATCTGTTACAAAAGGAAATGACTAACAAAGAAAAGTAAAATAGATCTGAGCCATAGTCAATAGACATGGTTTCATCGAAAACAGTTTTGACAGCAGCAAACGTGGTTATGTTGCTTTGCACATATCAGCTGGTGTAGTCAGGGAACTCCAGTCCCGACTTCCTGTTACTGAAGCTTTTGTGCACATATTGGAAATATTCGTTAAGTTCAGAGGCCTGTCATTCATTTATTTAAATGAACTCAGGATAGAGGAAAGTCTTTCAGGGCAGTTTGGTGTTGCTTAACAGAAACTTGCTTTTGTGTCAGTGTCACTAACCTATTGGTAAGGGATCAAGCTTCTTGTCAAACTGCGTAAGATCAAAGGGCGAGCTTTTTTCCCCTTGCCCTTTGTTATGACCAAGTTACAGTTAGGAACCAACTGCTCTAAAAGCAGATTTTCACACTTCATGGCTGGTTTCCTAGGAAAAAGGCAATAATAGTGGTAACCCCCAAAGACTGCCTTTTCAGATTTGTGAATATTTAAAGCAATTGCTTTATTCACATTTTTTAGTTGCTGACATGTCTTTCTCAAATTGACTTTGTGTAAAAAAAAATTACTAATTGCCAGGGTTGAACACCAAGTATAGTTTTCCTCATTAATATGAAATTTGTGTCTAGCCTGAACAAGGAGTTTGCTTTATTATTCTTACCCATTTTTTAAAATGGAAGTATACTTCCTAAAAGTTTCCATTCTTAGCTATTTAATAAAAGTCTATAACTGGGATTCATTTCTGAAAAACAACTTATTTAAATTATCTTAATAAGGCCACAAAAGGATATAACATAGTTATGGAGTTTATAACTTTTGGCTGAACTTTGAGTCTCTCCTCAAACGTATGTATTTGCATAATCACAGTTCTTTTTCTTTGTTAGAGCCTTCATTACTTTGACTGTCTCCTGAGGTCTCTGGCTCTTCCCTGGATACCATTTTTCCTTTTTCTTTTCTCAACACCTCCTGCCCCCTGCAGTCCAAATCTAAATATGTGTGTCAAAGTAAAGCAGTGGTCAATTAACTGAGAAAAGCATTAAGTGGAATCTCATAAACAAATCTTTTTAAAATAGTAGGTAGCTTTCTTGTTTTATTATGCTAAAATATTTAATTATATTCATCTGTTAGGGGGAAAAACAATTGACTAACTTTGAGAAGAACTATGCCCTTGTTATCGAATTGTAAAAGATTTTCATTAGGTCCTGTGTTTTTGAAAAGGGTAGTTTTCCTCTTTTAGACTGGGATAAAATTAACAACTGTAGTGATCAGGAGAAACATTCAAATTGTAGGCATGGAGTTGTTTAAAGAAAATGATTGTAGAGGGGGTAAAAAACTATGTTCCTAAATAGAAGTGCCACTTAATGAATTGTGTTAATTGAAGCCAGTCCTATCTGTGGTTTGGATTTTACAGTGGTGTGTGAATTCCTAAAATTGCTGTTGGGATTAAAGTATTTAAAACCAAAGTACATTTTTCTTTGGGAATTATATTGTTTAGTTTACATTGTCCTAGAACAACTTCTGACTGAACATGGTGGCCAAATTAAAATATTTTATGGTGTTCATTTAATGTATAGAATGTACTAGGTGCCAATTACCAGGGATCTGCTTTGCCAAATTAATTATGTGACTGCCAGAGGTGGAGTGGGGAGGAAGAAGTGATTTTTAAAATATTTTCAGAATATTGAATGTATCAATGTATATTGAAATCAGTTCTCCTAGCTAATCATATTTAGAAGACAATGATATTAATTTGGTATAGTGATTAACTTTATGTGAATATAGGCTAAGGGACAAATAAAATGTCTCTTAGAAAAAAATTGAAGTGCCATGCCTTCTCAGGGTATATAAAGCATTGCTAGTTCTTTTCTTCTTAACTCACAAGCACCAATAGAGTATTTAGAGATGACTCACTATCATTTAAAACTGATGCAATCAAAGGAAGGAGAGAGTAATGTGCTAGCATTTTAAAATGTATTTCAGAACACCTCTTAGATTTACACTCCACCCCCTCAACTTGCCTCACACACCTTCCTTATTTGTGTCCTTAAAAAAAAAAGTTGTTAGCCAAATACCGTTATAGTGTCCTTCCTGTGCAACATGTGGCATGATATTTACTTTAGATGCAATTTGTCTGGACTGCCACAGCAGATGAAAGGTTTTTCTGGGCACCAGTTAAAAGGAATGTGTTGAAGTAAAATCTTCATAGGAAGAAGGTCCTGGTATTAATGGCCTGTTAGTCAGTGGGAGAACTATCCTTAGTTCACTTGACTCACATAATTTTAGGCAGCACAGGCCTTCCGGTGGCTGAAGAAGAAGAAGAAAAAAAACCCTTGCTACAGTTGATCTTGTTGAACTGAGTTAAATTGGACTACTGACTTTGTGTTTTGTGTTTTCATAGGTATTGTTCCGGTATCAGGCAGTGAGACTGAGGATGATGACAACATGGATATTCCCCTGGACCTTTCCTCTTCAGCAGGCTCAGGCAAGAGGAGAAGACGGGGTAATCTACCCAAAGAATCTGTACAGATTCTCCGGGACTGGCTCTATGAACATCGATTTAATGCTTATCCTTCAGAGCAAGAAAAAGCTTTACTATCCCAGCAAACACACCTATCCACACTACAGGTAAAAAAAAAAACAAACAAAAACAAAACCTCAAAAAGAGTTAAGTTTATTGGAATAGTTTTTTTCCAAAGGCATTTTGAAGAGTTCCTACGTGATGATTTATTTATGTATAGTTCTTTTCTCTTTCCTGTCCCCTCTTCTTTAAAATTAGAGAAGAGTTATAGTGTTGAAAGGTAATCTGATTATTTAGACTTATCATCTTATCGGGTAACATTTCTTTAATGATATATTGTAAGAGAACACTACTTTATACAGCAAATATGAAAAGGAGGTTAGACCTTCCTCTATTGCCCAGGAAACTGGTTTGATATTTAAACAGGGACAGATTTCAGTGAGGTAATTCATGTTGTGTCTGTTGACATAGTCATTTGAACAGGGAAAAATCAGTAACTGTGGGAGGAGTGGCTCTTTTCATAGAGGAAAGACTTTCCTGTTGTTTATTAACCTAAATGCAGGAACAATAGGTAATAGGTTAATATACAGGAGAGTTAAAAGGTAAACTTCTTTCTATAAAAAAAAACATTTTCAGACACCCGGCAACTTTTGTTTTCTTCTTTTTGAAGAATGGTGAAAGTTTTGGCTTTTGTTGTTGTTGTTGTTTTTACTTTGGAAGAATCCCTCTTAGCTAGGATCTGCTCTCTTAAAACAGTTTTTAAATCTAAATGGACCATTTCATACCTTCCAGAAGAAAAGTAAAAAACATTAAAAGGGGTCGTTATATTTCCCAGGTCTGCAACTGGTTCATCAATGCACGCCGCAGGCTTCTCCCTGACATGCTGAGAAAAGATGGCAAGGATCCAAATCACTACACTATTTCCCGCCGAGGGGCCAAGATTTCTGAGGCTAACTCTGTGGAGTCTGCCATGGGCATCAAAAACTTCATTCCAGCTTTAGATGAGAGCTCATTTCATGCCTGTACAACTGGACCAAACCAGACCTTAGGAAGACCACTGTCTCCTAAGCCCCCATCCCCAGGATCGATATTGGCCCGGCCCTCGGTGATTTGCCATACCACGGTGACTGCATTGAAAGATGCCCCTTTCCATCTATGCCAGTCAGTCAGTGTCGGACAGAACACAGACATGCAGCAGATACCAGCCAACGGTTTCACAGACACCTCTCTCCTGTACTCAGAGGACACGGGTAAATCTGGACCAAGTGCAAATACCCAGAGTGGGCTTTTCAACACTCCCCCCCCAACCCCACCAGACCTCAACCAAGATTTTAGTGGATTTCAGCTCCTAGTGGATGTTGCCCTCAAAAGGGCAGCTGAGATGGAGCTTCAGGCAAAACTGATGGCCTAACCCTCTTTTCAAGCAGCAGAATTCTCAGAAAATGTTTGTTATGGTTGCCTGAGTGATGTCAAAAGACTAATGACTGCATTATTTTATATATGTTTTTTTATTAATATTTGCACAAAGGATTGCTGAAATGAAGCTTCCTGTTACTGAGATGTCTTCAATGGAATATAGTCATTCCAAGAACTGTAAACTTAAAAGCTACTGTAGAAACAAAGGGTTTTCTTTTTTTAAATGTTTCTTGGTAGATTATTCATAATGTGAGATGTTTCCCAAGATCATGTGATTTTTTTTTTATTCCCCTTCTCCCTTTATTTTTGTTATTTCTTTCAGACTGTGCAATACTTAGTAAAGCTATAGTCTTCTTCTCATTCCCATGTGGAACAGGATGCTGACATACTGTCAATTTTTTTAAGCAAGTATGAACTTAGTTGATTGGTGTTGCCTTTTTCATGATGTAATAAAATATTTTCTTTAAAAGTGATGCACTGCAGAGTATTTTATTGAGGAGGCACTTCCTAACAATAAGTAGGAACTTGGATATCATTGAAAGATAGAGTATCCCATGTGAACAGGAATAGAGAAATGTAGATATATTATTTTTCACTCTTTGAAGGACCTGGGACCACACCAGGGTACATAAACAGGATATATGATATTTAGTTATTGATAAGGTTGAGTCTTGCTTAAAACTTTTTCTGCTGAAAATTAATCATTTTGTTAACCTTTAGCATCCCAATTTCTCTAATGCTCTACCATTTGAATACTAGTCTAGTGCTCAGCCATGAACATTTTTAAACATTTCAAATTGTTCTGGGAACCATTTTTTAGAAAAAGAGCACCCTATATCACCTGGTTGTGACTTAGGCTTCAAGTTTGCAAGCTAACTTCTCCCACTGTCTTCTACCTGCTTCTTCTGATTTAAAATGTACTATACTTAATTGATTAGTGCATTTCAGTACAATGTTTGCAGATGGAACTCAGTACAAAACTAAACTGGTAGAAAGATGAACTAAAATACCTTAAAAGAGTCTCTTAAGGCAATAAAGAAACATTGAAGTTCTAGCTATCCTATAATCCTATCTTATCCATCTTCAAAGGTTAAAATTACCATACATTGTTACATTGCCATCAGCTTTGTGATGAAAAACTTAGGACAGCTAAAGGGAATCTCTAATGGCATTTTCACTTATATACTTCATCATCACCAAAAACTCATTCTTTTTTTTCTTTTTGGTGAGGCAATTGGGGTTAAGTGACTTGCCCTGGGTCACACAGCTAGTAAATGGCAAGTGTCTGAGGCTGGATTTGAATTCAGGTCTTCCTGACTCCAGGACTGGTGCTCTGTTCATTGCGCTACCAAGCTGCCCCCCAAAACCCACTCTTTATAGTCATAAATAACATGGGGCTGTGTGGTCATCAAAGTGCTTGACTACATCCCTCCCATCTCTAGCATAGTTTCTTAATCTAGGTAGGTGGATGGATTTCAGGAGGTCTGTAAACTTGCATGGGGTGGAGGGTGGGGGGGGGGGAGGAATTACATCTTTATTTTCACTAACCTCTAACTGAAATTTAGCATTTCCATCGATTAGGAATGTCAGCGACCAAAAATTCTGACAAAGGGATCTATGAATGACTGCCAAAGGGGATCATGATACAAAAAAGTTTTAAGAATCCCTGAGTTACAGCCTCCTCTGGGGCTCTTCTTGAGCTGTTAGATTCCAAGATGAACTTGACCAAAGAGAAGACAGCTGAGTCTGATAAAACTTCTTTCTTTTGATTAATGATTGTCATGTTGCAAAATAATGTGGATTCTTTTGAAAGATAAAAAAAGAACTTAGAATGTATAAGAACGTAGTCAACTCTCAGAATTATAATTTCTTGCTGGTCTAGCAAGTGTTTGAGGACATTATTTCATTTCATCCTCACAACAATCTCTGGGTTAGGCAGGGCAGGTATTTTCACCATTTTACAGATGAACAAACAAGCTTCAAGGAATGACTTGCCCAAGGTTCCCACTCTCGGCAAATGAGCTAGGACCAGACACTTGATTTTTTAGAATCCTAACCGAATGCTTGCTTTGTCCTATTACCTGCTTGTTGGATTCTCTTTGTTGCTATGCAGATTATCAAAAGTCCATTTTGCATTCCCAGGTTGATGCTCTCTCACAGGTAAGCTAATTTATATATTAACTTGAAGTAAAATGTGATTCCTTCACTAAAGGTCTACTCTCATCTTAGCTTGCCAAGTGACCTGGTGTTCTCCAAGCTTGTGCCAGTCCAGTAGGAGAGGTCAGGTCCTCCCAGTCTAGCCTTTAATCTGTACATTGAGATTTGCTGTTCAACAGAGGGCTGGCCACCAAGCAATGGCTCCTTGGGGTTATAACATTTCCTGAACAGTTTACAGTACAGTACAGATCTGTAGATGAAATGACAGATCCTTAAAATATTGAAATAGAAAATATAATTGGTAAGGTAAAAAAGAAAAAAATTATTGAAAGCTTGCTACAGTCTAAAAGAGCCCTAGATTTTTAAATTAGAAGACTTGGGTTTGAAACCTGCCTCTGTAACTTAATACCAGGGTGACCTTGGGCAAATCACTTCATCCTGTGAGCCTCAGTTTCTTCATCTGTAAAATGATGGGGTTGAATTCAGTGACCTCTAACATCCCTTTCAGCTCAAAGTTTATGTTCCTATGATATAGATAATACAAATAACTTAAAAGCTAAATTAATCCCTTTTTTCCAGACCCCAGATATTCCCATCCCCACCCCCTACTTTATTTACAAACGCTGTTGTGTTTAGGTATTAGGTAATTTTTAGTGTTATTGAAAAGGTAATTTAATTTGTCAATTTAAAGCAGTTTGCAATATCATCTAGGTAACTTGATTAGTGTTTGAAGTTTCTAGTCTAAAATCTTAAAAGTTTTTACTTAAAGTAACTTTGACTCAGGATCAGTTTGAAGCCAAGGTTCTAATGAGTAAGCCCTAAAGTATCTTAGGGAATTGGTAATTACTCATTTCTGTCAGAACAAAGTGAAGTTTACCTCTGGAAACTAGCCAGGGAGTAAAAAACAATGTTCAGAAACTGGAGTTTGAGGAACAGTGAGGACATTTTTGATGGTGGGTAACTGGTTGTTAAGCCAATTAACAAGAGGATGTGGCAAGCTTTGACCTCAAGTGAACTAAAATTGAAATACCTAATAGATTGCCTTTTGGGCTAAACTTAAGATGCCAGGTCTAAAGGCTAAAGATGTAACAAATGCTATGTGGCTGAAGGGGAAACGATGATTTGTGATAGGTGTAATGGGGCCCATGAGGGAAATTTAGAATAGATGAGTATAAAATACATAAACATTGGTTTGAGCAAATTTCAATGAAATGGCAACTTTAAAACTTTATTATTTATTTTTAGCATTCTTTTTAAATTTTGAGTAAGAAATTCTATTCCTTCCCCTCCCTTCCCCACCCACTAAGAAGGCAAGCAATATATCAGTTATACATGTGAAATCATGCAAAACATTTCCACATTAGCTATTATTTCCCCTCAAAAGCTAGAAAAATAAAGTGAGAAAATTATGCTTCAATTTGTACTCAAGTTCATTAGTTCTATGGAGGTAGATAGCATTTTTTCATCACTAGTACTTTGGAACTGTCTTGGATCACTGTATTGATCACAGTAGCCAAGTCTTTCATAGTTGATTATTTTTACAACATTGCTGTTAATGTGTGCAATGATCTCCCGGTTCTTCTCACTTCTCACTTCACTTTGCATCTGTTCATATAAAGTTTTACCATATTTTTCTAAAATCATTTCCCTTGTCATTTCCAACAGCACAATAGTACCCCATCACACTCATATGCCACAACTTACTTGTTCAGCCATTCAGAGCATTTAGAAACGACACTTCTGAATGAATGGCTGCTTCAATGTTTATCGACGCCAAGTAGAAGGCACAGACTAAAAAGGTATTTGGATGGCCTCCAAGTTGGGTGAAGCTTGCTCAGATCTAATAAGAAGCCTAAGGAAGATTTTAACAACAGCATCAAAGTGAGGCTGAAAGTAACCTTTGCCCTTACCTTAATAAAGGTCTCCAGAAGACAAATTGGAATTCTCCAAGCAGGTCAAGATCGTTTTCATGTTTTCCTTTCTTAAAAAGCTTGCTTTTCCAGATCAGAAGGATCCAAGTCTTTGAAACTGATAACATTCATATTTTGGCACTCTTTCTGATATTTTAAAAATTTCTTAGCAGTTAAATAAATACCAGTGTATCACCTTTATATTTTGTCATTCAGTTGCCAAGCAGAAACAGTTCATACACATTTTAAGAGATAGTTTTAGGTATTTTAGTATCTTTTAGTTCTCTTGTTAGTTTGATCCATTACTTAAGCAGGATTGAAACAAAATTGTAGAATTTGTTGCCCGTTTCAAATATTGCTCTTGAAAATGGATTTAAGTGAGTGTGCAAAACTGACACATTATTACATTAGTCACCTTTTCTCCCCCCAGATGGTAATAAATCTGCACCATCTGGAATAGCACTTTAAAAAATTCTCTGTTCAACATTCTCAGTTTTATGTCATGATCCGGTTTCACTTGTTTCAGTTGAGCTCTTCTTGTAAACCTGGTATTTAAATGAACATGATGAGAACTTACATTGCTGCGTTTTCACAGCTACAATAATAGTAGGACAGAACATTAGCGCTAGAAAGGGCCTCATAAGACTCATACAGCTCCCTTGCCCAAGAAATACAGTGCCCAATGCCACACAGATACTAAGAGGGGACAGACCCAGGCCTAGAAAGCAACTCCTCTAAATCCAGTATCCCTAGACCACCTTGCCCCAACGGCTTTCCTTTCCTAAGTACTAGGATTACTTCCAGGCCACAAAACCCTCATCTCCACACTCCATTTCAGTTTGGCAAGGGCTGTTTCTATAGGAGGCTTTCAGGATCTGATACATAGTATGCTAGTTTCCTAAATTTTGTGTAACTGAAATAATGTTGGAATCAACCAATACCAAGAAATCAGGAAGTAAGCATTCACCTAATACTTACCCTGCTTTCAATGCGTTTCATTTCCCTTTCTAACTGCTAATATTCTGACCTGGGACCTTGTGTTTTTGGTTAGGTCTTACTCCTTTACATCTTGAAACCAGGCTATTTCTAGAATATTATTGTCCCTCAAGCTAAGAGTTTTTCTAGTGTTTTAACCCTTTCCTTCCCCTGCCCCTATCAACTGAGTTAATTTACTTACCTATTAACTAGTTCCCAGAGGTTATTTCAACCAGGCTGATGGGAATCAAGAATGGAATTAACCAAACAGAATAGAAAAGTTAGTAATATTACCCTGGCTTTGGTATCTGTATTGGTTTTCTGACTGATATGTAACTCCATTAAAAAAAAGTTGAAAGCATTCTAACGCTCTTCTTCCTCAATCCTTTCTGTCCTTAAACCTGCTTTATCCTAAAAAAGTCATTATCATC